TCAGCTACGGTTCTCCATCTGCGTTTGAGTGCCTGTAAACTCCTGCACTCGAAATCTGAGCTGATTATCTAACATAAATGTTGTGTTTGGTGACATTTTAAAGGGTTCTCAGGCCAAAAATGAACGTAGACCACCTCAAGGGATGTACCGATACAACTTTTTCACTTCTGATACGATACCGATATTGCAGCCTTCAGTATTGACCAATACCAATCTGATACGGTATCAGCACAAATCATACATACTTTTACCTATTTGATAGTGTGGAATGTATGAAAGGCTTGATCAAGTGAAATTACTCAATCGGACAACAAGAGCCAATAACAGTAAGTATGAAAAAAATAGTTTTTTCTTAACCCTCCCACTGTCCTAACGGGTGTGACCCCGTGAGGAAAGTTGGCCAATGAGCAGGGTTGATGGTTTATCCCTTGGGTCCACGTGGCAGGGGTGAGGAGTGAGCACCACCTCATCCCTCCCACATGGACCTCAAGGGATAAACCATCAATCCTGCTCAACGGTCAACTTTCCTCACGGGGTCACCCATGAAGACAGTGGGAGGGTTAACCATTGGTTGCAAAAATGTGAACCTTGCTCATATTGGAGGTTTTTGATGACGCCCGATATAATCCGAAACGGTTCTTTTGAGCCAACATCAAATCACTTCCGATATCAATATCAGAACGGGGCATCCCTAATCACCCCCCATACAAGAAACAGATTATGTTTAAGGGTTACAGAACACTTCGCTTATCGTTGATTTATAAATATTAAGGTTCAGATTCTGAAATACAGTTTATGTGAATTAATAGTGTGTTGTGCAACTCTAATTTTAAAAACAAGTAGTTTGAGACTTGGGTTTGTGGAGATCAAGGATATGCAGAGATTCTGTTAAAAGCATCCTGATTCATGACAATGGCAACACCTTAAAAGATCAACATCTGCAAACATCAACAATCACATGTGTTGTTTTTAATTAATAGGCAGTGCTTGTTCTTAAAAAAATCTAAATCAAGCAATCATTTATTTTACAAGATTACTCGTTGAACTGGGAAAACCCTGTGTAGAGTACACTTTTTAAGAAGACTGAAGTTACTGATCGCGTCAGTGGGTGGTGCAGCAGTGCTACTGAGTGATGATTAAAGCTTACCGGGGTATAAATGATCAAACCTAAATTACTTTTATAATGCTGGAGTCCATGGTAACCAATATCGAAATACTTTAGATCATTTTAGAATAAGAAATGCATCAAATAAGTATGTATTTTTAATCCAAAAGTACAGTACTTTTCAGTTCTAGTCCTCAGGACCCTCTGATAAACCTGCTGCAGATCTTTACCTGCTTCATTCCAGGTTAAACTGAAGGCAGGCTTGTGCTCAACTCTGTGACATGCCGAGAAGATAATTTAATTATTTAAATCAGAATCAACAAAAACATGCAGGCGAGTGAGTCCTAAGAACTGCAACTTAACTCTCCCCCAACTCACTGCTAGACACTAAACAGGATGCAGCGCTTAAGACAATGCAAGGATGGACAAAGTCAGATTAACGCTAATTTGAATGCAGGAAAAATCCTGTATTTTAGTAAAGATTCTATGTAATGTTGTACAAATGAGACCCCTGATCATTAAGTTATGACTTGATGAATCACAGCACCAGCCACAACATTTTCCTCTAAGTCAAAGTCTTTTCCTCCAGCGCCCACATAAGGAGCTGAGCCCAAGTGGAACACATGATGCAGGACCGACTCCTGCCATCAACAACAGCTGCACCACAGACTCTTAACACATGTACCTGGCTGTGCAGCCAAAGCCAGGGTACCGAGCCATACAACAACTCTGTGTAGATGTGAGCTTGGTCAGAATGCAATGTGTGAACTCGGATTAGGTCACATAATAAAGTTGGTGAAGGTATCCACCATGAGTCAGGAATACTAACTCGAACCTAAACCTGGGTGGCATGTGCATAAAGGAAAAAGTTCTGGAGAAAAAGTCATACAAGCATTTTGTGGGAATGTTACCTAATTATGCAGTTTCAGTTAATCTAACCTGTGTGTTTGGAAATAGTGCAAGAGCCCGGGGCAAAGAGAGGAACCAGGAACAGAGAGAAACAGCAGGTTATTTAACTAGGAAACTTGAGCTGGGTTTACTTGTTATTCTGTTTATGTAATAAGATGCTGACTTCATTTAAGAGGTAAAATCTATTAAACCTTCTCCAATTAAAAGGTTCTCAGTGCAGAGTCATCTGCCTCTACAGTAAGAGAAGTGGTATTTCAGTGAAGTGGGAACATAACATTTACAAACTCTTAAGAGAAGGTGATATTATGATGACCGTCTTAAAGCTGCAATGGCAAATCTGCTTTTAAACACAAACACGGTCACAGGTCTCACACCCCTCACACTGGCCATCACCCCGAGGCTACTCTCCCCTTCCGCACCAGTGCTGCTCTGTTGCTAAATGCGTGAGTGCGAAATGAGCGGAGGACCCAGGGAAGTGTGGCGGTTCAGAGAGATCCACAATCAGAGGGTCCAATCGGTTTTGGACCGAGCTGTGTAATTGTATGTGGACTTTAAACAAATTCAAGAGAACCACTTCATGTTTGTTGGTTTCTTTTTTTTCTTTTATCTCCACAAAATTTAGCTTAACTATGTTAAAACCTTGTTAAGACACCAGCTTGTTTTGCAGCTTTAACAAAACTATTGGAATTTGATCTCTAAATGGTAACAAAACGATTAACACCAATACACAACTGGATTATACAAAAATAATTTCGTTTCAATATGAAAAGATTCAACAATAAATATCTAGAAATAGAGAAAAGTCTGCACAGTTACAGTCCATTTTTCAAGAAATATTGAATGTTGCCCGTGAGTCCGTCCCAGTTTTTCATTTTGTCCCAGTGTGAATTTGCATTCGACACCCTGATGTAGAGGGTAAGGAGTTCTCTGGCAGGAACGTCTCAACTCTGCTTTTTGCAGATGATGCGGTCCTCATTAAACTATTGATTTCAGTTGTTGCTACTGAGGTTTGCTGCTGGGATGAGAATCAGCACGTCTCAATACAAGGTAGGGCTGCTCGATTATGGCAAAAATAATAATCACGATTATGGTGACTGAAATTGAGATCACGATTATTTAGGACGATTTTTCAATTTATGTTGATTTTATTTGTTTTTATTCAGTCATAAAATTGCTCAGGGCACAATCAGGACAAAAATAAGAAACAAGATGATCACTAAAATAACTCCTGATTCCCAGGATAAAAAGACCAATATACTTATAGCTCATAGTCTATGACCCAAGGGCTACAGACCTTGGTTTAACTCATGTAAGTCTAACCAGTACAGACCCAAATACCAATATTTTGCAAATACTGACAGCAAGAATTATACTGTGGCATTTATAACAAATAAATGCAAATAAATTGATGTTCACAAAATGTTGCATAACATTTATTGAGTCGTGTCAAGGTGCTGTAGGAGAGTGCACTAGCACCGTGTCCTCAGAGAGGTTAGTTATTAGTTATCAGCGTGAGGAACTTATTTCTACCTTATTTATAAACTATGTATTTACAAGTCCATCAGTTAATGTAATAATTGTCCCAACCACAGCTGCACCCCCCACCCCCCAACCCGGTCTCACAGCAATCGGGGCAAACCGCACGTGTGTTTAGCGCGCCGCACGCGCACATTTAGCCGTTTTTAGAGGCTCAGGAGTCCGCAGGTGCGGTGTGTGTGTCACTCACTCTGGTTAATCCAACAAGGAGCCGGCTCCGAGAGCCGTTTCTTTAGCGACTGACACATCACTACATCATTCCCTTTCCTAATGTCCTGAAGAACGGTCCGGAGCGCAGGTGGAGTGTTTAGCTAACCTGCAGGAAATGTCGACGACAGTTATCCAGAAAGTAGCTAAGGGTTACCAGAGATGTTTCTGAGGTGTTCGCTAGGTACTTTTAGGATTAAAAAGTCAAGAAGGGGGTCTGAAAAGCTGCTAGAAATAGCGTCAAAGTCGCTAAGTTGGCAACACTGTGGAGGAGCGCTTCATTTGCAACTCAGGGCAGCGCAAGCGGGAGGAGCAAATAATCGGCTTGTTTTGATTTTTATAATCGTTCAAAACTCAGATCGTAATCGTGATTAAAATTCGATTAATTGAGCAGCCCTAATACAAGATCATGGTTCTCAACAAGAAAAGAGTGGATTGTCTACTCTGGGTCCAGTGAGACCTCAAGTGGATGAGTTCAGTTCTTGGCCATGTGCAAAGAAAGGAGGGATCAAGAGATGACAGGTGGATCAGGGCAGGCTCTGCAGTGATGTGGGCACTGAACCAGTCTTCTGTTGTAAAAAGTGTAAAAACTGAGTTTCTTGCAGAGGCTGGCTGGACTCGGCCTTGAAGACAGGGTGAGGAGCTTGGACATCTGAGAGGGACGAATGATAGAGATGTGGTTCCTCCATGTAAAGCAGCTAGCTGAGGGAGTTAAGACATTTGTTCAACGTGACTCCTGGATGTCTCTCAGAGGGGGTGTTTTGGCCATGTCCTGCCACAGGCATCCAGATCAACTCAGAACATGCTGGAACATGCTGCATGCACAACATCTCTAGCTTAGCTAGGAAAAACTCTGGGGTCCAATTCTGAGGAGCTGGTGAAAGTGGCAGGAGACAGGATGGTCACAGCTTCCCTAACAGAGCTGCAGTCCCTGCGATCAGTTTCCAAATAAGGAAAAGACGATGAGCGCAAGACTGAGTTTCTCCTTTTGCTGTGTGTTAAACACCAAGTACTTGGAGAAGAAACGACGTAAGCAAGAACCACTCGCTTTCTTCAAATTAAAACTGCTTTTAACCTAAATTCACAAATTGTTTCCTAAATTTTCCTGTCTTTTTCTATAAGGCTGAATAAATAATTGCTGTAGTGATTCACTTCGAAATCATCGCTCCAATGTGAATGACTGGATGTGTGTGCTAGGACGGGTGAAAGCTTTAAACGGGGTAAAAGGACAAGATGCACTTACGTAGTCTGAGCAAGGCAGCCAGGGGCCACGGTGTTCTCGGAGTGAGGGGTTCGCTTTAGACTTGTGAGCTCCAACATATCCACTTGGACATCAGTCACATGGCCAGGCAACGGTTTTAACACCGTCAGGATCTTCTCAACAAGGTTGTCGCCATGGTGACCAACAGCACCTGTACATCCACAGATGGATAATGTAATATGCATTGTATTATGTGTTACTATAAATACGTGTTTTTTAAACCCTGCAGTTTTAGTGATACCACTTATGGTTCTGGGTTTACCTGTAAGATCCATTGTTCGGTCAACAAAGATGATGGACGCTTTATTAGGAGCCGTTTTCCTTCTGGTTTTAGCTTGAGAGTGATTTGCAAGCTCTCCCGCAAGGATGCGACTCATTGGACCCACAGCAAAGCTCTCCTCTCTCGTCCCTGTTGCCTCAAACATGGAGTTCACCGCTGACACCAGTGATTTAACTTCGATCTGCAGCTCTACAGGCAGAGAGTGCATGTCCACTTCATTCAAGCCTGCACATTTCTTCTTCTCTGGTCGTTTCGCGTTGATTTTCTCCAGGTCTGAAGAGAGCAGAGGGAACATACTTCCAAAAGCTGGTGTGAGGATGAGCTGAGGTGATATGGGAGCAAAGACCACAGGAGCATGCATGACTTCCGCCGTGTAATTCATATTTCCCATCCACTCGCAGAGCTTCTCCTCAAACTGCGCAAAGACAGGGCTTCCCTCCATCTCTGCCGTGACGTGGTTGGCGAAAAGGTGAACGGAGTGAGGGACGGCGGTGAAGACGACACAGTACTGGAAATGGCTGACGGATACGATGTCTCTGATGATGTCGACTGTTCTCCCCTTTAACAGAGTGCTCACCACAAACACAGCTTTGGGCTCATTCTCGCTGCAGGCTTCGAAGCTTGAAAACTGCTTGACATTTCTGGCTCCAGCCTCTAAAAAGGATGCAGCCCCTCCGCTCCAGTGAAGAGCCTCTGCACACCTGTCATCCATAAAAACGACAGCTTTCTTTAACTTCGACTTCACCTTCTCCCACACCTGGAGCGGGAAAAGCGCAAACGACTCAGACGTCAACATATTAATGATTAAGAACGCCTGTTAGTTTCAAAACGCAGCAGAAACATGAACAATTTCGGAGTCGCGGCAGCAAAACAAACACAAGTCTCCCAAAGGTGACGTGGCGGACCTGTCGCAGCATAAAAACGTCACGACAATGTTGCTATAGTAACGAGCAGCATCTCCGCTTTCTCTTCCGAACCTCTTTCTTGTCACTGTTCTGGACGACGCTTTTGTGGAAGAGAGTGTATTTTGTTAGGATTTTACAGAAATTCTCTACAACTGATGAACTTGTTACTATTAAAGAGTCGTTAGTTTAATATTTAATTTATTCACCTCAGGAAACAACAATCTGCTGTAATCAAATAATAAGTGTGTGGCCATAAAATGTATTTTTTTATTTAGCTTGATATTTTTTTATTGAACTAGATCATTTACATTTTTATTTACATTATTTTTTTACAATGCTGTTGATAACAAATCTTTAGCGCTTCTCAAACGTTTTTTGTTTTCTCTCTCTCTCTCTTTAGTTTTCATCCCGTGACGTTTTCCTCTTGATTCATCATTATCGCGAGATAAGACGAACGTGTGAAAACGTTCAGTTGTCTCCGGTTTGCGCCTTTGGCCGTTTACGTTCGAGTTCAGGTTCATGAGTAGAACAGCCAGACATGTCTACGCTGGAGTCGGTCCACGAGGGCTGTGCCGAGGGGGAAGAAGACGGTTTATATGAATGTAGCTAAGTTAACACAACATAGAGCGTTTCTATGCAATTCATTAACGGTTAAAAACGTCAAGTTTTTTTTACCCAAATTTATGCAGATTTAGCTAGAAAAATAATCGTCAAAATTACTTTATGTTAAACGATTTTTTAAATGTATTTTTAAGTTGTATTTTTTTTTTCTTAGTCGTATTTGATCTCAACCAGAAGAAAAAGGAGGAGACAGAAAGTGATCACATGTCTTACAGGTATGAGACAGTATTGGACAATAGTAACAAATATTACAACAAACTGGGGAGTTTTCTTCTTTTTTATCTTATATCTGCTAGACATAATTTAATTTAGTGTTATTATTTGGGATTTGAAAGCCCAGGTTTACTACTTTTTAAACCCCATCAGCCTGATGCAACAACACAACTTCAAATAATTGAGCTGAATTCGAGTTTAGGTTACATCAGCATAGTGACTCAAACAAGGTTTTTGAATAAAATGCTGAGAAAAACAGCATGTGGTGTGTTTAGGATACTGGTGCTGGTCTAGCATGCCATGCAATTAGACAACTTTTGACCCAAGTTTAGTAACAGGCAAGTTTAGCGAGATATATTAGGTCGTCTTGCGGACACCTTTCCACACTTTCACATAAACAGCATGTTATAACAAATGAATCTAACAAACATCCTATAATGCTTGCATGAAGCATGAACCCAGAAGGTGATAGGGCTAAAATACACACGTTAAATTTGGAAGCAAGCAGTGTAAACACAAAGCATCAATCTTACCAGTTTCCCCAGCTCAATAATGCGATCATTACAGTTTCACAGTACATGTGACACAATGCTCGTTGCCTCTAATGTAGCGTGAAGCCAGCTTTGTGGAACATTAATAGATATGTTATGCTTATTAAATCTGCTGCCAGGAAAGCAGCGTTTGCTTGTGAGTTTAAAATGTGAAAGCAATTACACAAGTGGAGCATTGATTATTTCTGAGCTCTGCAGTATCACGGCTTTTGCCTGAGAATAACTGACAACAAGGCACTATTTCATGTTGATATGTATGAAATATAAAGAACTGAATTTTATTGGCGACCCTATTGGTTGAGGTTTAAGAGATGATTGATTACAAAATCTAATTTTCTTGCTTTAGGTATCTTGGTTTTTTTTATTGTTTAAATGAGTTTATTTTGTACCCACTAATTTTAAAATTTGCATCATGAAGATGCTAAATGAAGTTGGATAGCAATGTAGATTTTATCACTAACTTGCTCACAAAAGCAAACATTTTCTATCCAATTTGTATTTCTTCCCTGTCGGGCAGCATGAACCTGCATTATTCTTCAGGAGCCCACTTCTGTCAGTGTGAAGCTCAGAGATATTTTATAATATTGCTTTTGTGAGACAGTGTGATGGGTCATTAACCCTCAACCCAGACTGGAGTTTCTCAGAGTTCAAGCTACTGCCTTCATGACGGAGATAACAGCTTTGATAATGTGATTTCTTGCAGCTGTGGACACACACCTGAGATACCTACAGCTAGTCTGGAACAGATGACTCATGCAACTGGTTAGAAGGCTCCCCCTTTTAAAAGATGGCTCAGAAAACAGTGACTCATAAAAGAAAACAAAGCCTTCAGACATCAGAAATCATGCAAATTACTCAAGAGATTTTGTTTATTCCTTAAAGAGTAAGTCACCCCCTACCAGATTCTTACTCAACTCCCACTTCCTGTTTGAAAAATGCAACAAATGCTGTTGCCTAGCAGACCGAGAGGGCGGAGCCGCTAACAAATACAGACAGACACACGGGCTGTGACTCAATTCAGGGTCTGCATCCTTCGTCGACCAGATTCGTCGGCCGTTACGTCACAGTGCCGCGACCTGGCCTGTCCCAATTCGAAGACACCTTCAAATGCGGTCGACTAGGGCTGTAGCGAAGCCTCGACAACGTCGACGGCTCGATTCTAAAAATTTGTCGACGTCAGATCCGGAAGTCGACGCACCGCGCCCACTTGTTGCATCCCCAGGAGTTTGTAAATAGAGGAGGAATCTGCCTGTTTTTCCTCTAGTTCGCCCTCTTCTCCGCCTTCACTAACATCTCCGCCAAATACCGAAGACCCGGAACAACGTCCGTCCACTACTAGATTATTTTCCTGTTTTGCCCGCCTTCGTCTCCCGGCAACGGACAACAACTTCCGGGGTCAGATGCACTGCTCCGTTTCTACCGCAGATGTAGAATATCACCGGGAGCGTTTCTCCCTTCATAAAGGAGCTTCTTTCAGACATGAGGAGAGCTGTTTTGGTGGTAGCAGTCTCTCCTCCGTGCTGGTCTGTTTGCTGCTGGGTGATTTTGGTTTATTTAAACTTGGTAACTTGAACTTAACGTTGGTAAAGCTACTGTTAGCATCTTCGCTAACAGCTTCTTGCGTTGGGATAAGCTGTTACGTTTTGGTTTAGAGTTCATCTTTTTTGTGGTGTAGATCTCCCTTTTATTACATTTAGAGTGTTGTGGGTTTTCGGTTTAGTGTAAAATATCACCTGAGTTTGGTTTAACCCGTAACACCACTCGCCTCACGCACATAAGTGACCAAAACAAAGCAGCATGGAGACACTCCGTCTCCAACCACCTCTCAGGCAGCAGCCTGCACTCCCAAGTTCTACACGTCACCAGAACATAACCAACCAACACAATAAAAGCAGTGTTATACAAAATGGAAGGCCTGTAGTGTTTATTCTCTTACAGTAAGAATTTATCAATTTTTTGAGGAATTTATTTGAGATTTTCTGGTTTTTGTTAATTGTGCAATAGAAAAATAATCATTAGATTAATTTTCTAAATAGTCATTAGAATAGTCGACTATTCGATAAAATAATCGTCAGAATAATCGTTTTAAAAATAATCGTTTACCCCCAGCCCTACGGTCGACGAATCCGGCCTTCTTTTCGCCTGAATGAAGGATGGGTCCGGTGTATCCTTCAGTGGTTTACATTTCCCAAGATGCCTGGCGGGCCGGAAGGCAGAACTTTTAAAAACAATGGCGGACAGTGAAGCGGGAGCTGTCGGAGAGGATTGCGCATATAAATGTCAGCATAAAACTGTTAGGTTAAGGGCTTTTTTTGATACATGAACATTATTTTAGTTAGAAATTTTACAGTAAAAGTGCTCGTATTGCGGTCTCGGCTCGTATGTTCGGCCGCTCGGTGTCGCACTTCTCCCGCTACGTTTCCCCCTGATTTTAATAGAAGTTTGTATTTTAGGGACAAAAGAGAAAACCAGGGACTTTATTAAGCTTAGGGCGGAGATGGACCACATGATCACTGGAGCAAAGTATTCAGCGGCTGTGGCATGGAGGTACAATAACATCTCATATTTTAAAAACTGTTGTTTGAGTTTAGTTTTTTCTGCAAAAAAACATGAAAGGAATAACCCGTTGTCCTCTTTTCTCTTCCTGTTGTTTTTCTTGCATGTTTGTTAAGACTATTCTGGAGAAAATGGGCGTCCAGAGAAGGGAGAACTTTGACAGGCTTGCGAGAAAAAAGGGTTAAGGAAGATTAAACATGTACATATAAAAGAAATGTCTAAATAAAATCAGCTCTGTATTAAACACTTGATTTTTATTTTTGTTTACAATGTGAATTATTTAATATTACAGGGTATCCGCTGGGTCTGAAAAGTCTTAAAAGGTGATAAATCGGTTTTGGTCAAATTAAGACCCTTAGAAAGTATTAAAAACTATTATCACATCTTTGCTCAGGCTCAGCTTGTCAAAGGTATTTTCTCTTAGCTCTCCAACAGTCAAGGAAATGATTAAAAAAGCTAAATAAAACGATGAGCTCCATCGTTTAAAGTTCCTTCCCCCTTCTGCTCAGCGGCTCCACGGTTGCTAGGCGACGGAACGTTCGCCGAGGGAGTGGTGGGAATTCATGAAGGCTAGGCCGGTCCAAATTCACAGCCGTTAACATCCGGTCTACCCGGCCAACGGAGGACCCAGCCCACGTCGGCCGAGTAGGCTGGGTCCTTCGAAGGATGCAGACCCTGAATTGAGACACACCGACAGGCTCACAACGACATTGTGACATCATATGGTACCAGCTAATGTTCTAGGGTACCACTTAGCCAATAGCGATGGCAGATTTAATTTCAAATGTGGTGCAGAGTTTTTACCTGACAACAGCACAACACTGACAGTTTTTGGCAAAAAATTAAAATTTTAACTAAAATCCACTAAAGTGCAAAACTATTGACTACATGTCTGCAGCACGATTAGACACACATTTACATAATTTATCAGAAAAATAGTTGATTTGGGGGTGACTTGCTCTTTAAAAACAGGCCATTTGCTCATAAAAAACCATTCAGTGCAATTCAGTAATGTTTTTCTGATAGAAATGTGTTTTTTCCCCACAGACAGCTCAAAGTTGATAAAAAAGGATGAAGAGAATATTCAAAGTGTCGTACCGCCAAACCAGACGGTGCAGGCTCCAGAGGATAAACCATGGAGAAAATCAGGTAAGTTATTTTCATGAAGATGGACGTCTTTCTACCTTACATTATCTACATTTGCTTAATATCCGTTTATCAGATGTTTTCAGATCTGCTAAAACAGTTTACAAATATTTCTAGGTGCTGATCCCTCTGATTACTTTAACTATGGTTTTGATGAACAAAGCTGGAGACAATACTGCGAAAAGCAGTTTAGACTTAAAGCTTACAAGAGAAGAAATGATGTAAGTAAGGCAGAATATTCCTCCTGACACTGAACTTTTTAAGAATTTGTTTCCAAAAAGTAAACATGAACATGAACGTATACATGATTCCATTGTTGTCCACCAGACAAAGAACCGTGCTAGAGCTGCACACACGTCTCATTCCCATGTTTCTTCATACAGACAGCCTATTAAAGTCATCAGGTTAGTAGCTGTGCGATGTGTGTGTGTGTGTGTGTGCGTGTGTGTGTGTGTGCCTGTGCGTGTGTGTGTGCGTGTGTGTGTTTGTGTGTGTGTGTGTGTGTTCAGCCCTTCCATAGATCCCACCCTGTGCTGCAGTTCTGAGCTCTGGCCGAGGCAGGCTGCTTGTTTCTGTTGAGACAACAATTATCCAACAGACGCCATCTGTTTTCTGTGATCCTGAGATGGCTTTAGTACATTAAGGCTGTTAAGGGAAATAATGAAGTAAACACTGACTTGTGTTTGTCAGTTTGAAGCTCAGGCCATTTGTCATTGAACATTTTTAACAGAAACACTTTCCATAATCATCTTCTACCAATCATATCTGTTTACTCCTGGAAGGTTAAGTAAAGTTGTGCATTTTTTGTAAATTTATTATGAAAAGAAAAAAGACCCCACATCCACTGTTAATTACTTAAATTAAAGTCAAAATTACTAATACAAATTAAAATACTGCATGGTAAATTTTAGACAGTGATTAAAAAAAATGTAAAGGTTGATCATGAGGAGAACCTTTAATGAGAAACGAAGCAGTATGGCTTGCTTTTAGTACCCCTAGTGTCTATTTAGTGAAACAAAAAGTGAAACTTAGCTCCTCGCTGTGCGTTCATCCTTATAAAAACCTGAATCTTACTGCTGAAACGTCTCCTCAGCCTTTATTAGTTTCTACAGAAGTGGTTCATCCCTAAATCAAACAAATCAGCTGTGTTCACGATCTAAAACATGTCCAGCAGGAGGCGGCCCGCCACTCTGAAGTTACAAGTGTGGTATTGTGGCCACATTGACGGCGGTGGGGTTTCAGTGACATTTACTTAACCTGTTAATGGGTCATTTAACCCATACTGGCTCAAGAAAATAATTTTAAAATATGAAATGTTACCGAGTAAACCTTGAAGCTACAGTGGTGTTCTGCTGAGCTGTGAGGGCCTCATGTAGGCCATCAGCTAGCACACTGCTGCTAACCACTTGATAATAACATTTTAATTTCTTTGACATTGAATATGTTATTACTACTTTACCTGTTGAACTAATTATAGCTTCACTCAGATAAAGATAATAAAGTGTATCTTTTACCAAATAGAACATTTACTAAGAAATCACAATGTAGACATAGAAACACTATATATTTAATGTGTGTGTGTGTGTGTGTGTGTGTGCGTGTGTGTGTGTGTCTGCTCTGTCTTCTCCATCCCCAGTGAGTCGTGGAGGATGGCTGCTTATACTGAGCCGGGATTCTCTGGAGGTTTCTTCCTGTTAAAAGGGAGTTTTCCTCTCCACTGTCGCTAAATGCTTGCTTAGTATGAGGATTGCTGTAAAGTCACTGACACTAGTCAGTGACTTTACAGCAATCTGCTGGGTTCCTTATACAGGAAACATTTTACTGATTGACTTAATGAACTGACCTGTACTGGAATGTTTGAAGTGCCTTGAGACTTGTTGTGATTTGGCGCCATATAAATAAACTGAATTGAATTGAAAGCAATAACTGAAACATGTAAAAGAAAAAGGATTTCTCTCATTGGTGTCTTTCTTTAGTGCGGCGGAGCCAAGTGGGAGAAAAAAAGCAGAATTATTATTGCATTTTACACATTCACCTGCTACATTACAGTAAAATAGAGAAAATCTATTCAGTGGAAAACAATTTCACTTAGACGCAGTGCTACTTTTACTTTGTGGTTTTTTTTGTGTGCCTTTTGTCAGAAAGAAAAAAACAGAACTTGCAACCTGTCATTTATTTCAATGGTGGCTGAGGATGTCTGCTGAAGGCCGGTCATTCAGGGGTTTAATTAAACATGAGCCTTTCGCTGGTGTACACTTCCATGGGAAAGGTTACCCTTCAGGGGAGCTTGTGTGAGTCTGAGTGCCGGGTGGAGCCACGCATCTCATATGACAAAGTAGGATCAGAAGGGAAGCAGGCAGCCGTACTGTAGCATGTCCCGCACTATAATCCAATAGATGCAGGGACTCAGCAGCAACAACATGCTGACCACTTAAAGAGGTTTAGTTGTTTGTTGATCTGGATTTGATGCTCTCCTGTGAAGTGATGAGCCTTGATGTTTTATATTTTCCTTTAAGAAAAATTCTTTGCTCATGCTTTTTTGTAAACTTTACCAAAACGTGTGTTCTTTTCAAATCAGTAGTGAATTTTAAAAGCAAAATGAACCGGAAGAGCTTCTTTAATGAGCTGTCATTAGATATAGTTACTCTCCCTTTTCTGTCTTTTCTCTCTTCTGCTCATTAAATTTTAGTGACAGAAAGAGGTTAGTGTCCTGTGTGTGTGTGTGTGTGTGTGTGTGTGTGTGTGTGTGTGTGTGTGTGTGTGTGTGTGTGTGTGTGTGTGTGTGTGTGTGTGTGTGTGTGTGTGTGTGTGTGTGTGTGTGTGTGTGTGCGTGTGTGTGTGCGTGTTCTTTGAGGTGGAGGGGGGTTGTCAGTGTAGAGCTGTTGTCAGAAGAAGACAAGATGACCCAGATGAGGAGGTTTAATGCATTAATGGATCGTCAGAGGGTGAATTAGGGATGTAGGGAGTGAGATTAAGCCAAACTAATGTTAAGTTTTAAAATATAAGCGCTGATCAGCATAACATATGTTTATGCTTTAAGCCTGAAAAAAGGAATCTTTTTCTCTGGTACAGATATTACATGATTGTTATTAAATGCACTGGTAATGCTGTTTTTATCTGATCAGCAGAGAGTCCGAGGACAAGGCTAACGTGAGCAGAGGACAAACTGGACGCAGCCACAGAGATGAGAGACAGCCACGTCTCACTGATGCAGGAAACAAATATAAGGTGGAGTAGGGAAGCCCTGCAGACATCTCTGCAGCTATTTATAAGTGCAAATGACACAAATTAGGATAACATAGATCAGTTAATAATCTGCTAATTCAAGTATACATCTAAAACAATTTGAAATTTGTGACAAATTTCAATATTTTTGTCATTCATCAGAAAGTGATGATTATATCTAGATTCATTACACAGAGGGTGAACATTTTCAACCCTTTATTTTTGGTTAATTCAGTTATTTCAAATCAAACTTTATTTATGAGGTGCTTTTCATACAGTGGGTGCAACTCAAAGTGCTGTATGAGATAAATGTCCCCACAACAGTAACCCCCAAACACACACACACACACTTAGCGCAACAATGAAAGGACAACTGGCTGAGTACAGATGAGCAGACAGAACAGAAGGAAACATCGGTAAAGGAAGGCTTCACCAGGAGTGGCAGGGTCGGCCACAGGCCCCCAGAGGAGGAGCGAGAAGCACCCAGAAGGCCACAGCCGACCACCCCTCCAGGGGCAGTCAGGGGCAGTTGGTCCCCACAGAGGAAACACTTTAATAATATGTGTTGTGCGTGTGTATTTAATATATATAATAAATAATAATATTACTAATAAGTAATGCAAATTAAAATGGGTTAAAACTAATAAGAAAATATATTCTGTATAAGTAATAGACTAAACAAAACTGATAAAGATATGAAAGATTTTAATCAGGCTAAAATAGATCAAATTCAGCTGAAAGCTATATAAGAAGGTTAGTCTTGAGCTTGAACATGGACCTTCTCTGTGACCCTGAGATTAGGGCCAGTAGAATGGAAGGATGCCTTGCCTTGAGCATGTGTCCTGACTCTTGAGAAGACGAGGAGACGGCTGCCAGGAGTGCAGAGACCATAAAGGCTCATAAGGCAGCAGCAGTTCTGAAAGATAAGAAGGCCCATTTATAGCTTACAGATCATGAAAACCCCAAATTCAATGTCTCTGAAAATCCAAATTTTGTGAAAAAGTTAAATATTGGAAACTTACAGCGTCGTTTGGTTTACCAGCCTGTGCACCCTCCTCTCTCAGCCCTGACCCTCTCGCCCCTGGAGTGTCCAAGACACAGGGCCAATGGTCCTGATGGTACAGTTACACAACTGATCATTGAGCTTTGGTCTAAAGTGGCCTGGTACCAGGTAACCATGTGGACCACCTTATGCTCCAACATGGTGTTAGTTATAGACAAGCCGTGTCACACCTCCTGGATTTAGATCCTTTCCATTCACGCCCCCTCATGCAGCTCTATCCTTGCCCACATATGGGCATTGACATTTGCCGCAAGATCATCAGAATGAGGTCGTCCACCTAACATGGTTGTCCTTCACCAGGGGCATGATCATCTTTATGCTTGACCCCTGACCTAAGGCTCTTTTGCCAAGGGAGACCCTAGGAGGAGCTAGGAGTACTCAAACCTCTTCACTATAAATGATCAGAGGACAAAAATCATGTTTCATTATAACCCGACTTGTTCCTCTGCTTGGTTGACAGTCGGCTCTTTTGGAGAGGGAGTGGGATCAGAAGCATCCTCTGACACAGTAACATTTCTCCATAGTTATGTTTTTTATGGATACAATATTATTTTTTATTTTTTTACACAAGCGATCAAAAAGAGTTCCAGATAGTTGTAGGTGCAAAACCAACATGCACGGAGGATATCCCGGTGACATACAGATACTTTTTTTTAGACCCTTTATTCTGTTTTCCTTCACCTGAGTGCTTGTGTTGCAGGTGACTACCAAGATGTCTCACAAGGGAGATAGGTGCATTCGGCGAGATTTGCCACCTCTACTACGTAAGTCACCCTGTCACAGAGGGAAAATGAAGCAAAGCTTTGATTACAATGTCTCCTGAGCGCTCTCACAACATGTGGACAGATTGTGAGCAGATGAGACGTAGTTTAAGAACCAAAGCGAACATATTTAGATTCAAAACAAAGATTTTCATGTGGAAGGAGCTCTGGGAACCCTTCTTGTGCCGCTGCATAATGTGCATTATTATAGCAACATGAGAGTGTGTTTGAAGCTGCAACGTGTGTCAAAATTGAGATCCGGTGGAGTTGGTGGACAAAGATGAACATTTTGTGTGCACATGTGTGTGCTCGCATGTGTTTGCATCAAAAGGACGTCGGTCATTTTTTTGAGGTCAGGTGCCTGATGAGGGTTGTTAGTCACCAGACTTCCTCTTGGTTTTAAGAGATGAGTTAGAGGTCCAGAGAGACTGCCTGGCATAAGCACACAGTTGAGAACATATGTCTTCACCTTCAAAGGTTCCAAAATAGAAACACAAGCTTAAGTCTCACTCTTACCCTCTGAGCCTCCATGTTGTACAGAAACCCCATGGCAGCGCTGCAAATGCAACCAGAATATCACACATCCTGCAGACTGCTGCTCTGAACAAACGATACCAGTTTTGAAGTGTATATTAATAGCATCTATCTGTAGACATCTCACCTTCTTTAAGTACTAAGCCCAGCCTCCTTTTGTGATGCAAATGCGTGGGGTGATAAAAATAGCCTCTGGTAGAAAAAAGGAAGTGCTGGCTCTGCATGCTGTGGCATGAGAAATGTGCTGAACAGACTGACCACGGGGAACGGGGCAGAGGAAAAGACAGAACCATTTTGAATGTTTGTGTTTGCTTCAGTGAGGTCACATTAAACACCAAATGGGTTTTGTAGCTTTTGCAGGAGAACGGGGTCATTGCAGGCTGTGTCATGAGTAAGTCAAAGTAGAATCAGCACTACCAGTCTAGTTTGTAGTATTTTCTTTATTTAAGGAAGTAGAATTTGAGTGTGCTGATTCTTCTTTTAATTGGTCGAGTACATCAGAAGCTTGTGGACAGAATTAGGTTCAGGTGCAGATGTTTTGGGTGGTGCTTTGTATCTTTTTGTTTTGTGAACTGGAATTGTCAGATTTTAATTAGTCAGTAGTTTATTTTTCTCCTTTTTGCTACACCCATCTAGTCATTCTGCAGATAACACACCTGTGCTCCATCTTTAATCAGCCCAACTGCTCTCCCTCAGTAATCACCTCTTCCTTGATATATGCTCTATAACAGGGTGGGCCAACCCTGGTCCTGGAGGGCTGCTGCCCTGCCTGCATGTTTTAGCTGCTCCCACACACCTGGCTCTAAGATTCAGTCACCCACCTTGCTTTCTTATATCAGCATCGTTTCTTCATTGTGGTGATGATGAGTTACCGCCCCGTAACTGGGGGATTGCAGATTTGCACCCCGCTCAGTCTTTCTCAGTCGTATCCTTGGGCGAGACACTTCACTCTCCTTACCTGCTGGTGGTGGTCAGAGAGACCAGTGGTGCCCGCGGTTGGCAGCTTTGCTTCTGTCAGTGTGTCCCAGGGCATTATGGCTACGTTGTAGCTCATCACCAGCAGGGTGTGAATGTGTGAATGACTGATTGTGTGTGCCTTGGGGGGCTGTAGAACTAAAGAAGGTGCTGTATCAAATACAGGTAATTTATTAGAAGCTGTTGTTCTCTCAGTTCCTTTGTTGACTGGTCTGCATCATGTCCATTCCTCCCCACATATGATATAAAACAGGTGATCTTAAACTGAAGGCAATGACAGGAACACGTGTGGATGATGAAAGAATGAACTATACCACAGAAGGCCTCTCCCTCTTCCAGTCCAATGGGAAATATCAGCTCCATCTTGAACCCCAGAGCTTGCACTTGTGTGAAACATTAGCATGAGACAGAAAGCAACGCAAACACTGTCGGCAGCCATTAGCCCTCAGCCATTAGCCCTCTCATATGCTGCCAAGCATAGAACTCCAGTCCTTATCAACCTCTAGAGATCACTGCAGGTAGAAACGATTACTCATGCTAACATTGCAGACACGTGTGTGAAATATCCGTGCATGCATGCTAATGTGTATGCTCTCAGCACGCAAGCAACACATTAGCAAGCATGCACGCGATACTCATGGTTTGTTTTAAAAGGCACACCTCAGTATTATTTACATGAGATGCTTCATGCATTGAGCTTGTCCCATAATGAGTCATCTCTGGTAGTCGTTTTCTTCACATTTGCTTTTACATGGAGCCCTCTCCATGTTCACAGTGAATGACATCACTGTCCTTAGGTGTGCTGTCCAGAACGGCGGCACTAGCAGGCCAGCAGCGCAATACTTTCAGTCTTTGTTGTCTTAAACTGCTGTGTGTGTGTGTGTGTGTGTGTGTGTGTGTGTGTGTGTGTGTGTGTGTGTTCAGTGCAGCTTGAGTGTGTAATTTGGAGCTGATTGTTTTGCTTGCTCATGTAAAATCTGAGCATTATCACAAGTGGGATCATTAACTGTGAGTTCAAGCATTTGGTTTTGTTGATGGAGCGCAGGGTAAGCAGGATTTGCTTCATTTGTTGCTGTGGAGTTTTTAGATTTTTTTCTGGTCCCCGTGTTTTTTGGGCACTACACTGTAATTGAGGGTTCGCCCACAAAACTCCATGTAAACAGAAGCAAATCAAAGTGGCATCTGAATGTAAATAGAACAAATGCTGGAAGTGCTGCAGGGGTGTCAGAAGTTTTATCTGGCGCTCTCACTGGTGCTCTTCAGCCAAGGGATCCACATAAATGTTGGCAGAAGGAGATCTGAGGCACGCAGGAGACACAAAAATAAAAAACCTTTATTAGTACATGGCTCAAATAGTTAAAAACATGAATGCTGATGCGTTTCAGCCCGCGGGGCCTTCGTCAGGGCTCAGAATGTTTGTAGGTTCTCTCACTTTCATGTTAAGAAGGCTAGTGACACCTGCTGAAGTAGGGCAGGTAGACAGCATCATGATTGGATGACCAGTACAACACAAAAAACTTTTAACATCTAAACAATCCTGTTGTAAGGATGAATACTTACAAATATTAGATTACACTTAGAGAATTTGAGAAAAAATTATAAATATGGTACACAAATGGTAAGAAAACCTGAGATTATAAATAAGGAGCAAAATCTAATTCTCCATTAAGACCTGGGAAATTAGTAGCTTTTAATTCAATTCAATTCAAGTGTATTTATAAAGCGCCAAATCACAGCAAGAGTCGTCTCAAGGCACTTCACATAATAAACATTCCAATTCAGGTCAGTTCATTAAGCCAATCAGAAATAATGTTTCCTGTATAAGGAACCCAGCAAACTGCATCAAGTCACTGACTAGTAAATCCAACATGATTCTCTTTGCAAGAGTTTTTTAAGCCCATCTCCTCTATTTGAAGTTCTCATATGTTCATCCCTGTGATTGTAAGAGAGTTACAGCTTCCATGATTTGTGTCTTTGTAATGCACGGCCATAGGATACAGAGGATTACCAGATCTGATTGCTTGTTTGTGTTCTGCAAGTCTTGCTTTTAACTTACGTTTAGTTCTCCCAGTATAGAAGCAACCACATCTAGTTCCAGTCTGTAGACCACGAACGAAGTATTGCAATTGATGAATGTATTAATGTAAAAAGTACGTCCTGTGAAAACATCAGCAAAACAGTTAGTGTTAGTCATGTTGTCGCAGTGAACACAATTTCCACATTTATAGTCACCTTTTCGAGTTGATAACCAGGTTTTTGTTGCTGTGGGGGAAGGTGACGTTGAGCAAGCTGATCATTTAACGTTGGGGCTCGTCTGAAGCTGATAGTAGGAGTATCTGGGAGAGCTTTCCTAAGAGTACTGTCGCTTTTCAGTGCGTCCCAGTTTTTTGTAATTATTTATTTTTATCTTGTTGGCTTAATCACTGATTTGGGTCACAAAATAAACACCATCTGATCTTTGTTGGTTCTTCTCTTTAGGAACCAATAGTTGTTCTCTTGGCAGGCTTTTAGTCTTATTATAAGCTTTGAGTATCGTTCTTTGCTGGTATCCTCTTGTTGTAAAGCTCTGGCCCATAACTGTAGCATTTTTTTTATTTTATTTTCATTTTTTAAATAATTACAAAAAACTGGGACGCACTGAAAAGCGACAGTACTCTTAGGAAAGCTCTCCCAGATACTCCTACTATCAGCTTCAGACGAGCTCCAACGTTAAATGATCAACTTGCTCAAAGTCACCTTCCTCCACAGCAACAAAAAACCTGGTTATCAACTCGAAAAGGTGACTATAAATGTGGAAATTGTGTTCACCAATCCATCATGATGCTGTCTACCTGTCCAACTTCAGCAGGTGTCACTAGCCTTCTTAACATGAAAGTGAGAGAACCTACAAGCATGCTGAGCCCTGAGGAAGGCCCCGCGGGCTGCAACGCGTCAGCATTCATGTTTTTAACTATTTGAGCCATGTACTAATAAAGGCTTTTTATTTTTGTATATCCTGCGTGCCTCAGATCTCCTTTTGCCAACATTTATGTGACATCTGAATGTACTTAATAATTACACTGTTTTATTACACATACATCTTCACATTATACAGAGTTAATGTGTATATTATCCACAACCTTTTGAACTGAAGACATCAGATTGGCATTAATTGACAAGTTTCATGTTAGTGATATCATGTTGACGTTTACAACATTTACGCGTATGTTTTGGTCTAAGTGCCTCAATATTCTAATCAAAGTATTATGAGAAGGAATTAATACTACGTAAATAGTCCTGTCTCCTTTTGCAAAGCCAGCCTTCTCCCTATATTTCTGTGTAAGCACCCAGGAATGTATAAAACCCTAACTACCTTCAGTACAAACACTTAACATGTTTACTCTGACTGGGTTTAATTAGAGTCATAAACTGTGAAGTAAAATCCTCATGAGCTAAAGTACATGTAGTCAGCATGACGAAATAAGGAGCTGCTTGATGCGTACGTGGAATTTATCTACCAAGACTGTTGTTTTCTTCCTCGGCTCTTTTTACTCCTCGTCATGGCTAATTGAGGGGTTGGCATTAAAAAGGCCCCGGGTGTGTTAGAAACAACGGCATCTAAATGTGGGAGGACAACAAGGAAAGACTAATTAGAGCACATTAATTTGGATTAACGGTGTGGCTTTGATGATCGTTAATACATTAATTAAATGTCTTTGGACAGGTTTACATTGTCAGGTTGTGTGTTTGCATAAAGACAAAGAAGTCACACTTTTTCTTGTTGTTCTCTGCAGCTTGTTTTCGGTTAGGACGCCCTGTTCCACCCCCCTCTGCTACGCTGGGCAGGTGAGTCCATTAGCTCTAGGAGCAGGACACTGCAGGTGAGTCCATAAGCTCTAGGAGCAGGACACTGCAGGTGAGTCCATTAGCTCTAGGAGCAGGACACTGCAGGTGAGTCCATTAGCTCTAGGAGCAGGACACTGCAGGTGAGTCCATTAGCTCTAGGAGCAGGACACTGCAGGTGAGTCCATTAGCTCTAGCTCTAGGAGCAGGACACTGCAGGTGAGTCCATTAGCTCTAGCTCTAGGAGCAGGACACTGCAGGTGAGACAACAACAGCATCTGGGAAGGAGACCTTTGGAGTCTAAACCTGAAAACACACGTGTTTGCTTTGATTAGATTTGTGAAGCAGCATGATAGTGTCATGCTTTCTGGCTTTGGGTTGTATCGCTGTACACTGTTGCCTATCCTCTAACTGACACAATCACCAAATAAGGAAGATATCAGATTAAAAGCTTGTTTATGTCTAAAGTCTCCTGTTTATCAGGATCCAAGGCATCCCCCCTAAATGTGCTCTCCCGAATTATCACAAGCTGTCTGCAAACTCCCACACTTCAGCTCTAATTTACACGTCTAAGATCACAAGTGGGCCACGATGTTCCCCAGACTCCCACATCACTCCCCTGCAACCTTGAACGCAGTCCCACTCCATTTTTGTTTGGGGATGTTTGTTTCCTTTAGATGTTCTGTCCAGCCTGTCTCAATCCATCCATGTTTGTGTGTCTGTGCAGCTTCCCCTTCCTTTATCTTTTTCTTTCTTTTCTTGATCCCACCGCTTCCTTATCGCCTGATATGCAGTGTCTGACGTGGGCCTGAATCCACTCAGTGCTTTGTCCTAAAATCATTTTTTTCACATCTCCATCCAGCTGCTAAATCCTCACATCCTTCAGGGACTTGGTGTTCTTATGAACTCTGCCAGCCATCTCCTGCACTTTATGAATCATTTCCTTTTCAACTTTTCTTTTTTCTTCCACGCACACGTGCAACATTATGTTTAAAATTCCTGCTCCACTGTTGCTGTCCAGGTTTTCCCTTGAAGATATTAGAAACACAAGGTTTCACTGGCACAACCTGGACTCCGGCTTTAGATGCTCCCAAATCAGTCATTTCATACTGCGGTGCTATTATGATAACGTCACCATAATACGCCCAATGATGCCCAAATATTGGGCCACTTTTATGTTGGTTTGTTATGATTACATTCTTATTGCTTATTCCTTTTTGTTTTTAGGGTAGATTAGTTTTTCTTTTTAATTTTTTGTTGCCATGAAAGGACCTTCTAAACTTCTCACTTTGACAGCGTCCTATTGCAGTTCAAGTGATTGAACATTAAATGCATCAATAAGGGATTTTAAATGAATTAATATTCATTAATATTTATACTGAAACTTAAGGATGCTCCGTTCGGATTTAGCCTTATTAAACAACAAATATGACTTTTTAAATTCACCCTGAGATAGAGGTTTTCAATCAGAACAACAGCTTAGTTTTAATCTCAACAAGTTCTTCTACATCAGTGTTCTTTATTTCTTGGAAGAAAACAATGCCCATACCTCATCAGTTTACGGCAGGCACCGTAACATGCAGCTGTCAGCTAGCAGGCTAAAGCAGAGCTAACGTGTCTCTACGTATTTTGATGCTATTTTAAACTGGACAGCGAAGGCAGCGTAGCAGCCACGTGTAATGTGTGCATACTGGACATTCAACATGCTGGAATTGACAGCTGCATAAGCAGCCTTCACAGTTCACAGCGGCATCTCTAAAGAAAACCTGGAGCTGTCCAGCAGTGATATGTTATGTTAAGATATGTTATGTTAATGTACACAGAGATAGTGCAGACGGACAACAAAACATCATGTTTTTTCCTTCTGCAGCACCTGAGCTGGACTGCTGATAGCTGGCTGTTGTGCAGATAAACGTTAGCCTGATGGCCGTGGTGGCTCCAGCCTCCCGTTTCATGAGAACGCGCAGCAAACGGATGTAAACACTTTGAAATATGAGCAACTCTGCTACTTTTAAATATATTCATAATATTAACACGTTTTTTTAATAATGTACTTTCTAAACAAGTACTGTTTTTTTGGCGGATAAATAAGGAAATGACAAATACATAAATACCTAAGTATTAATTAAAGGAACATTTGGATGTTTTTACCTTTTTTATTTTTATTTTATTGCTTTGTTGAAGAATTGGATCAGGACTCTGTATCAGCAGACACTCAAAATCAATGACTCGGACTCGGATCGGGAACAAAGAAATGCGATTGAAACATCCTTGGCCGAAATCATGTTGCATCTAAGAATTTTATAAATATTAAGCTAAGATTTTGTTATAATTGTATGTTGCTCTCAGCGATTTGTGCCTTGAAACCCCTCTGCCATTGATTCGCTGTAGTTCATTCACGAGGAAGCATCTGTGTCTGTTGGACAGAAGGTAAAATTCACAAGTGCTGGACTGTTCTTTATTAGATTTATGGTGTCTTGTGTTTGGATCTACACTGCTGGATGAACTTCATACGCATTTGGTTCATCATCGGAAGTTTTCATTTGGAAGCAGTGTGTGTGTGTGTGTGTGTGTATGTGTGTGTGTGTGTGTGTGTGTCCAAGCCACGTGGAAGGCAACAGATCAAGACAATATTCCTGCTTATGGCTGGCGAGCGCTCGCTGTGTCTTGACACTGAGCCAATCACTTCAAACACTTGGAAAACACAGCAGCACATTTGGAAAAGGGCTTTGATCATTTCTATAACTGGTCCACTTATGTATTGATTCACTTGTGAATTTGTTTAATTTACACTGTTCCAATTAGAATGAATGATCTGAAACATCACGTAAAAACAGGACAACGGCCTACCAGGACCAGATTGTAACACCTACTAGCTCAAACCAGGACTCAAGCTTTTTATGTACAGATGGGTTAGAACTCAGCATCTTTGCCTCCTTGTAGAGCCTAAAATGTCTTTTTCAGCAGATTTTAAATTACCCGTTTATTTTTTTCAATGGTTCTTTTGTGTTTTGTTTTTCCAGGGATCAGCGTTCAACTTCACAATGCCGAAGTGTCTTCAGTAAAGAAAGTATGTTTTCACAATGGAAAAATTACATGTTGATAACACACGAGTACTGGAGATTACCAGTTTTAGCCCCTCATCTAGTTTTCACTGTGCGATTACTTGACAAGTTCCTGAGTTTGACTTGAAGACCAAGTTCACTCGTTTTTTAAACACATTTGCAGTGGTCTCTAGCATGAATGAGTCCATTGTAGGTGATCTCTGTGGGAAAAAACGTCTGTGCTCCTGTGTCAGGATAGAAGTTAGCCTTCTTGACTTTACCACTGGCTATGTTTTCTCTCCGAGGCTGATGGTTTATCTCAGCAAATAACACACACCTGGAGGAATCATGCCATGTTGTGGAGTTGCTAATGCTACGAGTTAGCTTCTACTAGCCGAGACATACGCTCCTCTCTTCTGGATGCTAAATCAACAACAGCCTTCCCTGGTTGTGAGCCAAGATGGATGAGCCCATCAATGCCAGTTTTCAATGAGACATAAATTTGAGTGGCTTTTCTAATCCGAATGTTTGTCAATTTTCTATCGACCAATCATTTTCAAATATATAAAGTGAGAAATGGTTTCTAAGTGAACTTAGCCTTTAATCCAATGGTATTACAACTTTCCATTTATTCTTTTTTGCATATCCGAGGTCAGGTCACGGGGCAGCAGCCTGAGCAGAGAGGCCCAGACTTCTCCCTCCCCAGACACTTGGGCCAGCTCCTCTGGGGGAATCCGAAGGCGTTCTCTGGCTGCCCGAGAAACATATTTCCTGTGTATTCCCTCGGGTCTCCTCCTGGTTGGAATTATCCAGAAAACCTCATCAGGGAGGCGTGCAGGAGGCATCTTAATCAGATGTCCAAGCCACCTCAACTGGCTCCTCTCGATTTGGAGGAGCAGTGGGTCTACTCTGAGCCCCTCCCGGATGACCGAGCTTCACACCCTATCTTCAAGGGAGAGCCCAGCCATCCTGAAGAGAAAACTTATTTCAGCTGCTTGTATCCACGATCTCGTTCTTCAGTCTCTACCCAAAGCTCGTGACCACAGGTGAGGGTAGGAACGTAGATCAACCGGTAAATCGAGAGCTTCACCTTCCAGCTCAGCTCTCTCTTCACCACGACAGAGCGGTACAACGCCCGCATCACTGCAGACGCAGCACCAATCCACCTGTCGATCTCACGCTCCAGTTTCCCCTCACTAGTGAACAAGACCCCGAGATACTTAAACTCCTCCACTTGAGGCAGGACCTCATCCCTGACCCGGAGAAGGCATTCTACCCTTTTCTGACTCAAGACCATGGTCTCAGATTTAGAGGAGCTGATTCTCATCCCAGCTGCTTCACACTCGGCTGGGAATTATAGAATTAAATAAGCAACACATCTTCCTATTATCACAAAAGCATCTTTTAATTTTGGTAATGAAATGTAAATTTGCCACAAGCTTTTGTCAGTTCATCGTAGCATCTGCTTCACACTCTGTTTTAACTTGTGTTATTTTTAAACATTCCTCACATACTTCCCACTGGTCCATGTTGGCATGATGCAAATGTCCACCACGTTCCACCACATCCCACAGGTTCTGTGGACTGTTGAGATTGGTTAGTGAACGTAAGGTGATGTTCTATAAACCAGTTAGAGCTGCTCTGACCTTTGTGACATGGTGCTTTATCCTGCTGGAAGTAGCCATCAGAAGATGGGACCATGTGGTCATAAAGGGAAGGACATGGTCAGCAGCAATACTCAGGTAGGCTGTGGTGTTTAAACCAGGCTCAGGTGGTACTAAGGGGTCCAAAGTGAGACCAGCACATCTCCCCCACACCATCACAGCACCTGCAGCAATCTGTAGCATTGATGCAAGACAGGATGGATCCGTGCTTTCATGTTGGTGACACCATTTTCTGACCCGACCATTAGAGCGTTGCGGCGGAGATCCAGACTCACCAGAGCAGGAAACATTTTCTTCTGGTCCAGTTCTGGTGATCCTGGGTGAATTGTAGCCTTAGGCTCCCGTTCTTAGCCAACAGGAGTGACCTTGATAGAAATCAGTGGATTTTTGAGTTGCTTTTGTCTTTTTATCATCTAGAACCAGTTTGACCGTTTCACCTTTATCTTAAGCAGACATTCAGCCACAAAGCTGCTGCTGGGTGGATAATTTCATGGGTAGTTTTTAGACCATCCTCTTTAAACCATTGAGGTTGTGCATCAAAATCCAAGTAGCTGAGCAGGTTCTGAAACACTCAGAGCAGCTGATGTGGTAGCAACAACCATGCCACATGCAAAGTCTCTGAAATCTCCTGTTTCTCCATTCTCATGCTCAGTTTGAACTTCATTAACTCATCTTCATAAAGATGCCTAAATGGGTTGAGTTCCTGTCATGTGATTGGCTGAGTAGCGAACAGCTGAACCTGTGTACCTAATAAAGTGACCAACGAGGGTATAAAAGGAAAAAGGAAGTATCACTTTGAATGCAACAACTTTTCGTTTACATTGCTAATGTTTTGAATCGTCCTCTTCCATTTCTGTTGGGTTGTGTGATCTTTTATTCCAGGGAATGTGTCAAAAAGCAGAGCAGTGACTGGTGTTACCAAGGACTGGAAATGCTTCATAACTCAGAAAACACATGGCGGAGACGGAGACAGCACAAGAGAGAATGGGCATGATAAAAAACGCAAAGCATCCAGGGACAGAAAAAACCAGAGCTCACACTCTTCACACAACAGGTGGGCCACAGGTTACAATACGATCACCATTAAACTCTGCAGCAGTTTTTGTTTACAGTGTTTACGTCTGGAGTTCTGGATAGCCTTTTGTCTCATTTCCTCTTTTCCATTCATGCTTGCTTCTTCTGGGGATGAATGCAAACCTGCTGAACAGCTGCTGGTCTGGATAAGACGCTATAGCTTTGATAGTCCCTTTGTTCATTCTAATTCTACCCTTTTGGTGTGTGGCCAGCTTGGCCTTCACACGTTTTTACATGCTAACACACACACACACACACACACACACACACACACACACACACACACACACACACACACACACCAGCTTTAACCTCCTTAGACCCTGTGTCCACAAATGTGGGCATTGACTTCCTGCACTATAATATTTTATTCTCTTCTACATACACCTTTTTTTTTATCATTTATAGATACTTGTAATTGACTTTAAAGGTGCAAGGTTTACAGTGAGAAAATCCCTAAAGAGTCTTATGCTTCAGCCATTTTGGAAGGAAGGATATACTGAAACATATTTCCTATCCAGCTGGCTGCAGGGGTTGTCAGTTTCTCTCCTTTCAAAATAAAAGGAAGGAGGGACATAACTACTGTTTACCATCAGTGACTGTGGGGTTGTCGTGTCTCCTGCAAGCTAATACGGCAGGGCTGACAATTGTAATTTGACGATGGTTGGCAAAAATCTCCAGAGTTGTGGTTGCAGTAGCCAAATTTTACCACAGGATATCATTTTTACTTCTTTTTTACATAATGCACCTTTAAGTTAAAGTTTAAACATTTTTTCTTTTGGAAGTTTGTCAATATTTTAATTATTTTTGTTATTAGGTTCACATTTGTTGTCTAATCTGTAATGACTACAAGTGTTTTTTCTTTTAAATCACACCAAACGCAAATTCAGGTCTCAGGAGAATAATATCATTTCTGCTAACTGTTGTCGTTATCATTAGCATCACTGGTTAGCCAGGTTTTGCAACACAAGAAACCTGCATCTTGGTGTTTCTACTGGTGTTACACCCCAGCACGTACCTGAATTTTTCCAAAACACTCACATCCCAACATACTCACACTCAACAGAAGCAGAATTTAGATCTGACCCTATCTGTAAGAAGTAAGTCCACTGCAACCCTGTCCCATCATGCACTGCAAACAAATAATCTGTTGCCGACGTCCTGACCACCAGACACTCCCGATCTGCATCCACTGAATGGTAAGGAACTGCTTTGCTGGGAGAATTAGTCAGATTATAATTCCAAAATGTCCGACCAGTGTGCGGTACAGAGAACAGCTATTGGGATGGTCTGCATGTTGGCATCAGTAAGCCTAAAGTTCAGCTTGACTTTAGATCAGTGCATGAAAGCATTTCTGTTTTGAACTGTCTCCCAAGTGACAACCAGAGCCAATATGTCTGAAACACTCTGGATTGGAACAGATAGCCATCTTGGGTTGTCATCCACTCATAGTGTCGTTTTCAGCATGTGGTAACAACGTTATGTAGAACATAAAGTGTCTGATTAATGTATGTACTGGACTAAATTTGTTCCACATAACATAACTTTGAGGACTCTGTATTGGGGCGTCTGTTTGCTCACTAGCTGATTACTGTGATGTCAACCCTTGGAGTGTTGTGAGAAAATATACAGCACCTGCAACAACAAAAGCTCTCTATCGCTAATACCAGCCACCAAAGATGGAGACTATTGCAAGGCCAGGGGAAATCACTGCCAGCATATCGTCGTCGTCTTCCTCCGCTTATCCGGGTCCGGGTCGCGGGGGCAGCATCCCAACTAGGGAGCTCCAGGCCGTCCTCTCCCCGGCCTTGTCCACCAGCTCCTCCGGCAGGACCCCAAGGCGTTCCCGGACCAGATTGGAGATGTAACCTCTCCAACGTGTCCTGGGTCGACCCGGGGGCCTTCTGCCGGCAGGACATGCCCGAAACACCTCCCCGGGGAGGCGTCCAGGAGGCATCCTGACCAGATGCCCAAACCACCTCAACTGGCTCCTTTCGATCCGGAGGAGCAGCGGTTCTACTCCGAGTCCCTCCCGAATGTCCGAGCTCCTCACCCTATCTCTAAGGCTGAGCCCGGCCACCCTACGGAGGAAACTCATTTCGGCTGCCAGCATATGCAGAACAAATCTTTTGGTTGGGGTGCTGTGAGATGGGGGAATAACGCTAAGTTTGCTTGCTGTGCCAGGATTAGATGTGTTCTTTCTTCAATAGAATTAGACCTCTTCCTCTTTAATGGCTAACAGATTAAAAGAGCCGATTTGATCTTTGCTCTAAAATCCACATCACTCCCTTCTACCCTACTGCCTGACAGCCAGAGTTCTTCTGTTGGTGAACTGCGACACGCTCATGTTGGCGCACGCCAGATCCTGTCCCACATTTCCTCTGCAGGCTTGGTGTTGATGGTTAGCTAGATATCTCAAATTATTATCCACTTAGGCAGCTGCACACTGTATTATAGATATGCACATCTTCCTCTTGCTTGCACACGGCTTAGCTGACCCGAGGCTTATCGTAAAAAGACTTGTGCAAGGAGTCACGGCTTAGGTGTCCCTTCTTCCATTACTTTAGCTTTGCATCTTAAATTCAGACCTGAGCTCTTAATGTCTTCTAAATACTTTTGGCTAAGAACAATCATAAAAAACATAATTTTCCTTAAAATGTTTGTCTAGATGTGCAAAAAGCTAGAAATCCTGCTGACGACCACAAATTAGTGTTTTCACTTCGGCTTTAACTTACTGTTAATTACTTTGCATGCAGTTAGTGCAAAAATAGCAAAAATGACTAAATGAAGCACTGTATTAGTGTAAAAACGCTCTCATGCACTCCAGAGTTTTGCTTTTCAGCACTTTTGCCCGCATGACGGGGAGTTTTTCCTATTATACGTACAAGGTGACAAAATTCAGGTAAAACTCGAGCAGTCTTGTGGGTCAGGCGAAGGAAGTAGGACACGGGGACAGCTGTGAAGCTGTAGGCTGACTGCACAAGACCGGATGAGCTGGAGTCACATGTGCATGACAGGCACACAGGGAACGCTCAGGAGATTTCAGTATTCGTGCTTGTGTTTGTTCTGATGTAAAATCTTCCCCACAGCCTTAAGGGTGTGCTGCTCACTCATTACGGGGTTTGCCCTACCTTCTCACGATGTGTGATTCACACGTGTTCTATGATATATGAGCGTCACATATGATATATTTGTGTGCTTTTGGTTACATTGATTTATGACTGTGTTCCAGGCTATTTTTAGCCAGGAAATAGATTTCATTGCACGTGTGTGAGAAGAAAAGAAACAGATGGAGCTTCTTTGTTGCTGTGTTAGTAGTTGCTCCTTTTGTTCACTGAAGTGATGATCGTGGGTGCTGCTCATGTTGAAGCTTTGCTGGCCCGTGTGTGTCCCCAGCTGAGGCACACTGTTACTGCCCAGCAGTGGTCGACTTCAGGGATCAGATACTGGTCATCAGCTGTGCTTGAGTCTGGTCTGGAATAACTACAACCACTAATACAATCCACAAGACTGACACCTGTGCATCTCTTTATGTTTTTATTTTATTTTAAAAGGTGTGGTGCACTGAAAACCCATTTTTAACATCTTATTTTTGATTATAATCGGTCACCGAGTTTTTCATGCAGGCTGAACATGAAATAGTCTCCTACATCCACCTCCTGCATTAGCTTCTGGTAGAAAATAGACAGTGAAACTCTAGGGTTAGAAAAGCCTGACAGATCTACGTCACACTGTCACTGAACATTCATGGACTCACCCATCTCGACTCATAATGAGGAAGGCTGTTAGGGCATTGTCAACCGTTCATTTCTGACATCCTTCACCTTTTCTTGTGGCTGCAGGCTGAATAACTCAATTGTTCATTTGGTCAACACTTGTCTCCTGATTGTAAATTTCAGTTTTGAATGATAAACGTAGCTCTTGCCAACCGGCCCTCGCTCAGACCCTCTCATCCTGTCTTTCATGCACACATCTGGCCACATGTGTACGAGTCAGTGTTGACATGCAACATCCACACTTTTCATCTTGGTCTATGAGTACATGTGTGGCATTGGTTCATACAAAGAATCAGATTAATCAGATTTCAACCCTCAGCTCCTCACTGGCTGATAAGAAACCTGCACACACTTCCTTACTGACTGGGCTGGATTATGTTCAAGCAGGGGAGCAGACACACATTTTAAAATGATAATTATCCTGCAGCTGAAATTCTTGGTAAAAGCATTATTAGAATGTGTTATGAGCCTAGTTTCCATGTTAACAAAGGACACAGCTAAGATGTAGAGGCAAAAAGCACCAACAACCGAGTAAAGCACAAAAAGTAAGCGAATAATGAGAAAAATAATCCTAAACAGCAGAAAACTGAAATCTGTGAACATTGTATAAAAATCTGGACAGCTAAAATGTCAAAACACCTGTTATTTCAGTAGGACAAGTTTAACAGTTTAATCTTTACATTTAGCTGAACTGTGAAATTAGCAGCATATGCTAAATTTGGTAACTGATTGCTGAATAGCTGAAGTAAGCTGAAACTAAGCTAAACTGTCAAAATGAGCTGAATGTATTTAAAGAAGCAAAAATCACCAACAAGTGTAATAAAGCTCAGAATATAGGTGGAGAATGGACAAAAATATGCTTAACAGCAGAACACTTAAATCTCTGAACATTTATTAAAAACTCAAAAGGTGAAATGTTAAACAGCTGGCATTTGAATGAGAATAGTTTAACAGGTACATTTTAACAAGTGGCTGGACTGTGAATTTAGAAACTTTTACTGATATCTGAAACTGATAGTGTTGGGTAATTTCTATATTACTTCCAAATTACCTCAAAAAAAGTCAGAGCATACACAGAGGGATTAGATCTTTGGAAATTGAATCATCAAACAACGATCAATAAACGAACTTTGCAAAGGGTGAAACATACACACCAGAGTCAGAAGGCGGTTTGTTCTCACCCAGAAGCAAAGCTGCGGAGCGC